ACTATTATTATATATATATTTTTTGTTTTTACAATATAGTCTAAAAAAATAATGTTTTTTAATTTGTTTGATGCAAGTTAAAGGTAAAATGATTGATTTGCCTCCTACATGAGCGGCATTTAACGGACCCCAACGTTAACTCAAAAGGAGCAAATTATTATCAAAATCACGAGTTAATTAGGAACCACGAGCAAACTTCATGTATTTTAGAGATCAATTTCAAATCTTAGTTTGCATAATGTTTTTGAAACAAATAGAATCAAAGGGACTTGAAATAAAATTGAATTTGGTTTGATCACATTAAGATGAAACATAATTAAGGGGGTGTTTGGGATTGCTTATAAAAATAGCTTATTGACTTATTTCGATGTGGTACCGGTAATGAACATTTTTAAGTGTTTGGATAAATAGCTTATACCGGTAATAAAGAGTTTTTGAAGAAGTTAAACCCTTCTGACTTATAATAAGTTGACAAGTGATTTTGTAAAAAAGAATAAGTTGTTTCAAATAAGCAATCCCAAACACTCCCTAAAGAGTTTAATTCGGTTTATTTGGATATTTTGTTTGGTTCATCGAATGTAGTTTTTACCTCTTTAATGTTATTTTTTATTTTGTAAAAGATAATACATACACACACACACACACATATACATGCGTACATATACACGGTTGGGTTTACGTGAGACTAACCCATTTTCGTGAGACCACTTTTTTATACTTGAAACTTCACAGCAAAATGTTGTGAAAATAAAAATTCGAACCTTCATAGCAAACACACTGTGAAGGTTACTTTCACAGCGCTTTGCTGTGAAGTTTCAAGTATAAAAAAGTGGTCTCATGGGTCTCATTAAAACAGATTGGTCTCACGTGATCCCAAATCTACATATACATATATTATAAAACATTTGACAAAAACTCTTAAAAACCATTTTGTATGTATGAAGTACTGCTTATTGATGCATATTATTTAAAATTCAAGATTACAAATAAATTGTGGGTAAGTACAATTTATTAAAACTCCATGTTTGAATTTGTGTAATTAAATACAAGATAAACTTCTCATTTTAAATATAAAAAATCTAAAAAATAATTAAGATAATTATTGAGTTATAACTTAATTATAATCTTAATAAAAAATTACATTATTAAACTAAAAAAAATTACTTTATTATTAAACCCAAATTAAATTATAATAAAAAATTTGAATTAAATTACAACAAAAAGCCGAGAACTTTTATATATATTTTTTCAAATTTTTACGATATCTTGAAATTTGTATTTTATTATAATATAAACATTGTCACTTTCTCAAAACCACATATTACCGTGTTATAACATCAACAGAAACAAAGAAAAAAAAGAAACATTAAAATTAAGATGTATTGCACTGCATTGTACACATACCTTTTCAGTATATATATATATATATATATATATATATATATATATAGACTTGGGATCATGTGAGACCAACCTGTTTTCGTGAGACCCGTACGTGAGACCACTTTTTTACACTTGAAACTTCACAGTAAAATGCTGTGAAGGTAACCTTCACAGTGTTTTTGCTGTGAAGGTTCGGATTTTTTTTAACTTTCACAGTGTTCTTGCTGTGAAGTTTCAAGTGTAAAAATGTGGTCTTACGGGTCTCACGAAAACATACTGGTCTCACGTGAACCCAACCATATATATATATATATATATATATATATGTCTCTTTTTGCTGTACCTTCATGTATATCTCTTTTATGTTTGATAATTTAATAAAGTTTCTTTTATAATTTATTAAAGCTTTGATAACGATATTTTCAATTCCTTTTTGATGACGATGTTAGTTGATTGAATACGCTGTTCACCATCATACTCTTTTATGTTTTTCTATTAAATTATTACTCAAAAATATCAAATTTCAATTAATGGAATTTTTATTAGCTCTAGAATTACTATGGTTATCTAAGTAGTAGATACCATCAAATAAACTATAACTGAACGAGGATCCATTGGAGGGCAAGTCTGGTGCCAGCAGCCACGGTAATTCCAGCTCCAATAACGTATATTTAAGTTGTTACAGTTAAAAAGCTAGTAATTGGACTTTAGGTTGGAGGCATGACCCAACCAATTAAGGCCAGGAGCGCATCGCCGACAGGAGGGACGAGTAAACCAGTGTTACATTATATATCATGATAATTGTGAGAACTATTATAGGATATTGTTTCACATGATTCTTTTTTCCCATTTAATGATAGAATTTAATATATCGATTAACATATATTTGTTTGTCTCATATGCATTTGGTTTAAAATGTATTTTTTGTTTCACAACCATATAAAAGATGTACACATAATGAAACAAATAAATGTTAATTAATACACTAAATTCAAGCTGTAGATGGAAAGAATCATATGAAATAACACAAGATGTATCGATACTCAATAAGTTAAAACTGAAAAGGTAACTAAATAATATTTACGGGTTATTTGTTTACTTCTTAATAGTTAATTTTATTAAGAGTCAACATCTGAATCATTAAGAAATGAATCTTGTAAAATAAGTTTGTCTCTTAATGGTTTTAAGACCCTATGAATGATTTTGTATCCTATGTCTCCCTTAACCATTCAATGCCCTAATTTTATTGTATACAATTACCAAACAATTATATTTCATTTTACATTATATCATGAAAGTCTTTTAATCATTCTGACCGCTTAATCGTTTTGCATCAAATCATTCAGCAACTGCCAAACAACCCCTTAATGTGGTATTGAATTTGGTTATCCATATTAGTGAGAGAATGTGATACCGAAAGAAGTATGTGAGTATGTACCGATACGCAAAGGGGATGTATTTGTGACAACTTATAGCGTTGGCTCATTTTAGCGACATTTTTGTTGCAATATTTGTTGTTATTATATGATACATAGATGATCGCGATCTGATGCAATATTTAGTGGTAAGAGTTGTCGCTTTTACTTACCGAGTAAGACTCTTGGTCCTTGTGTCGCTCTTATCGGGTAAGATTCTTGGTCCTTATCATATTCATCCGGTAAGGTAATGTGACTTGATAAGTGCTTACCCGAGTAAGCGTTTGATAAACGACCCTTTATTAACCAGTCTAACCATATATAGCCATACAATGTGTAAAGGAGGCGTGTTCCTTGTATGGACATTTGAGGAGAATACAAGTAAGTTCCATACTAAATTTGCAACCTAAATACACACCGCAAGATGGATGTGGGATCATTGGAAAACATTACAATTGATATGCTTAACATCACGCTTGTTGTAATAGATCACACTTTCCACAAAAAAAATGATTAATCAATCTATCATAATTACGAAAAAATGAACAAAATGAAAAATTATGATTGGTTGAATGAGGTTTGTACGATTTATATAAATAACGTAGTTTGCAAAGTAAACCTCCTATATCTATATATACATATGATATAGAAATTTCCATTCATAAATTAAACATTGAAATGTCGTGGCCTCATCTTGCACCTAAAGCTAGAGGCTTGGCCTTGTCGCTAAACTATGATTAATACCAATGGGTTTAATATATTAAAATTATTAACAACGTAATAAGTTCATTTGGTGTATATGCTCAGATAACCTTTGGATAACGTTATGTTACAGAACATTTAAGTACCAAAATTAACCGATGAGTTACATCGTTTTCTGGTTAATGTTTTTGTTAATTAATACTTTCATGGGATTTAATTTTTAATCGTCGATTATTTTCCAAGAAAATATTATTACCAGCGAAAAATTAGTGGAGCATTCTTCTACCTGATTAGTTGCCGACACGGTCCGTAAGAAACCAAAATTTACGTGGATTAAATTGTTGAGAACCGAATAATTAATAAGCGAGTCGACTACTTCCAGAGTGACCACATGCTTCGCAAGTAGCCTGGAGTCACCACATTTAAACCTCCGTTGCCACAAAGAGGATTTTTATTCCTCTTTGGATTCAAACCTCCAGACACTTTTGACCTTTAGAACCCAAACTAAAATCAATTAAACACCACCCTTGTGGTTATATTGTATATCTGGGTAAAAAAATCATGACATTTCAATTTTTTGAAAAGTGTATGTTAGATACAGCCATTTGTTAGTCATCATGAAGTGATAATATTAAATTAAGGTGGTATGATTTATATGTTTCCTCTTTATTCCATGAAAAATATATGTAGGCCACAATATTTTTTTAATATCCGTCAAATGATTAAACTTTTGTCGTCGATGATTTCTTAATAACTCGATACCCAAAAGTGAAATGCAAACACAAATCCTATAAATATTTCGAAAACCTTCCAAGCTACCAATTCGATCGAGAAATTAAAAACCAATTGGACTTAACAAATTAAGCTACCATCTTAACATGTTACAAATCGAGTATAAATTATTTAAGAGGTGTGAAACATTTAACACATTAATTAATATAAATTATAAAAAATGAAATGAAATTATGTTTGCACAAGTCAATTATCATGGGAACAGATAGCATTCAACATGAGCTTCTAACCCTAACCCTAAACCCTAACCCTAACCCTACTTCTAGACTGAAAAAACCTCCCTCCTATGCTACTTAATTTTACACCCCCAAATCAAGGAAGCTCCAAAATGACATTTGTTTTGTGCCAAAAACCATTACCCACAACCTTTTCTTGTGCCCCACTTTTTTTTGTAATACAGCTAAAAGCTAAAGAAGAGTATTGTATTTTAATGGAGCAAACAAATAAACTATTAATTAAACTAAAGAAAAGATGGGGAAATGTTACAGTAGAGAACTTGGGTGCCCCACAACTTGAGAAATCACTTTGTTGACAGTGACATATTTGTGAGTGAGTGATCAATTGCATCTCATCTCATCTAATCTCATCTCATATGTGTATGATGACTCGAAAGCAAAACACACAAACCCTGAGAGAGCTTCTACCAAAGGCCTTGTTTTTGATGCTTAAACAAGAAAATTATTAAAGATTTTATGACAAAAGTTTTTCTATAAAGCAAAAGAGAGCTCTAAAGATGTTTTGTTTTTTTGTTTTTTTCAGACAAGCCATGAGTTGAATCAATCTGTTATGGTCTTTCACCTTGTATTGTTTGAGAGACAGATAGATAGACATAGAAGACCCAAGAGAGAATTGGTGTAAGGAGATGATGGGGGAAAACCCTAATTACTGGTGGAGCTTGAATGGGAAACTGCAGCCTCCACCTTCTCAGCAGGCTTACCCTAATTTCTTATCGTCGCCACCGTTGCCGGCACCACCACCACCACCACCACCGTCCTCCGTCTTGAATCCTCCATATCTCTTTGGATCTTCTCTACTACTTCCTGCTGCAAACTCTAATGCTTTACCTGACCATCAGCACCATGACAATCAAGATTTCCCAGTCTCATGGAGCCAATTACTTCTGTAACACCTCTCTCTCTCTTTTTCTCTTTTCCATCGTTATTCATGCATGCTTTCAAGTTATTATTCCTTTGTTTCTGGGCATCAGCTTAATTCCTCAAAATGTTTTCTAAAGTTCACTCTTCTTGCTGTCTATTGATTTTTTAACTTCTGTAATATCATGGGGATATCATATCATGCATCTAATGATCATTCCATTTTTCTGAAGTGTGTTGATGGGTTTTTGATTATATGATCATTGACATATGCAGGACTGGATTAGCTCATGATCAGGAAGAACACAACTTGGGAGGTGGACATGTTGGTGAAGTAAAGCATGGATATTTAAATCAACAAAGCAGACAACTCTACTATAGTAATAAAAATGATCATCATGACAATAACAATAACGACGAAGATCTGCAAGCTTGTAGCTCTTCTTGGTCATCTCAACTCAATCCAGTTCCATCTGTTGGCTCATCTTCTACCATGAGTTTGAGCACCACCACCATGTTCGACTTCTCAAGTAAGATTGACAGCAGAAACCAGCATACTAATCAATATTCATCTCAGGTAACTAAACACATATATAATCCACGCAACAAGGTTCTACCTTGGCATGATTTTGTTATCGATCTTTACTTTTATTGCCCAAATTATATGTTGATCATGTTCTTTTCCTCTTAACGTTGGCGTTTTGATTTCTTTAATTTTCTCTTGTCGTCGTTGATTTGTTCATGTTTATACATCAAAGTATGATGACACCTCTACTAGCGGGGCACCGAAAAAGCCCAGATTTCAATCGTATTCAACCCAACCATCTCCTACGGTAATTGAAACTTTTCCCCTAGACATCCTTCAATTGATGTATTTTCTTGATGTAAGTGGTTTCTATAAATATAGCAAAGCTATATAATTCATTGATAAATGTACCTTTTTCATGAAAGCAGTGTAATGAGACATTTACAAGTGGAACTTCTAAAAGGGCTAGGGCTCAACACTCGTCAACCCAAACCCCTCTAAAGGTGACAAAAACCTCTTTCTTCTCTCTCTAGATCTCCTAATTCATAAGAATATATACTTGCCATTCATCCTACATAATGTATTGATCAAATTCATTTGGCAAGTCTCTTTGCACCACCAGAATGGTAAAAATCAATGTGATATGTTCTACTGATCATTCTTACCTCACAAGTAACAACTATATATATATATATATATATGTATATATATATATATGTATATATATATCAATGGCGTCGGTTTTGGAAATTAATTTCGGCACCTAAAAGAAGGTCTATTTTTGAACTGATCAGATAAATTTCTTCAAGTATATAAATATGTCACCTACAACTAGAAGTGTGGTCCATGACTATAGGCTTTTTTCTATATATATAGAATGAGCATAGCTACTTGATTCACAAGACTATATATATATGCCTACATCTACATTTAGATGAAAAGGATATATATATATATATATATATATATATATATGTTTGATTGATTATTTAAGTTTTTATAGTGAATAATTGATAAACTATCTTAAGTAATCCAAGAGCATTAACAATGGATATAACTAAGCAGGTGAGGAAGGAGAAATTGGGTGAGAGAATATCGTCTTTGCACCAACTTGTTTCGCCTTTCGGAAAGGTAAGTAAACTCTTTTACACCATACACCCTAATCAGCTAAATAATTCTCTCATGTATACACACACACATATATATATATGTTATCTAAGATAACCTCTGGATCTTGAATTTCAATTTCATAGTTTGATATGGATACAAAAATTTAACCTACTTGATTGTGTTAATCTTGTACATGATTTGAATTAGTTCTGTTCCAAAACAGACATACACACACACACACACCCTTTTGGACCTCTTCTTTTGATAGCATGAAATCATAAAAAATTAATAAGTTGTGTGATTAGTTAAGACTTAATGAAGAGAAAAGGATTCAAAGCTGAAAAAGAGATATGTTTGTGGGACTTTTTGCAGACTGACACAGCTTCTGTGTTGTTAGAGGCCACAGCTCACATCAGATTCCTTGAGAGTCAAATTGAGGTAACATTGGTTTCTTTATTTCTTTTATTATTCATTGCAGTAGGTTTTACAGACACCATATTAGAGTAGAGATGAGCGTGCACTTAAAAGTTGTTGCTTTTTCAACATTCTTCATCTGCAAATTAACATTCAGGCACTTACTTCCCCGTACATGAACTCATCAGGAGCCACGAGACACCAACATTCTGCTGTAAGTTGCCCATGCTTCCATTTCTTTTAACTCTCTACTTAATACTCATTTCCCAATGCCATAAATTTACTAATGAATTTGATTAATTATGGGCTACTTAATCAGAAGGTGAAGAAGAAAGTAGCTGTGTCTGAATATATAGATATAATATTATATATATATATATATATATATTGTATAGAATTCTTGATGAAGAGCCAGGTCAGGTTAATGTACTTTATTGGATCCATCACTTATTTGCTCATTTAAACAATTATTCAACATAAAGTGGGAGACATGATTCTCAACTTTAAAATCGATGAAATAATTAATCAATCTATTAAGCTAGGTTTACTTGTATAATTTACCTCGGGATTGCATCAAAAAGATTGTTAATTATTGCTTAATTAATTCAGCTTTCAACCATGTTCTTGATTTGAGATCATCACCTGAAAAGAAGGGAGCTTCTAAGCAATATACAAGCACTTAAAACAGCTTTTTTTTTTTGAAATCTTTTACTTAGAATTCTGTGATTTTTTTATATATTAAAAAAGAGAGCTGTAGTTTAATCTGAAATCCCTTAATTTATGCAGGATGGGAAGGCACTACAGAAGGACTTGGGGAGTAGAGGGTTATGCCTGGTCCCAGTGACTTGCATGGATCATCTTGACACTACCAACATGACCAGCAATGGTGCAGAATTCTGGACTCCTGCACTTGGTGGTGGATTTTAATAGCTCCATGTTAATTACTTCAAGTCGATTCATCGAACATTCATCAAGATTCAACGACTTACACCATGCCAGCGATTTAATTTTGATCATTCGGTTGAAATTTCTGTTGCTAGCTAGCTTCCGAAACCCGAAATGGATATAAAGGAAAGAAGAAGAAAAACCAAATTATTAGCATCGTTGTTGAAGGTTCGTGGATGATATGTCGATGATATTTTGTTGTTTTAGTCTCTTTTTCATTTGTTTTCGGGCATTTGGTGAAGTTAGGGGAAATTAAGCAAAGACTATATATATAAGTCTAGTACATGCTTGATTATGAAATGTTTCTACAATTAATTTTTGTGAAATATGTGAAGTTTAATCCGTTGAAAATGGACACACCTTGTTGTTTACTCATCTAAAGTTATTTGTTTCGCGTGTTTTTGGTCGGTCCGATAGTGTGTTTATGTTGTTTAAACGTCTCAAAACAACAAAAACTAACACAAAATTTAATAGATAGATCTAATATTACAACAAAATTGGTTTTATAAGACGCAAAAAATGTCCAAGTGTCATGATAGACTAGGTACTTTATAAGATATAAAATCAAACAATTGTGCGTTGTACATGTGTTACAATGAGTTTATACGACGGTTTTGAACATCTTAACAAATTCTGTATAAAAATTTAAAATTAAAGTGGGCTGCCTTGGACCTTCTAGACGAAGCGTCCCTTAAAGAAAGATCGGAGTGTGTTCTTAAAATTGCGGAAATAAAAGCTAAGGAGTTATGCGATCTTAATTAGACAAAAGTACCGTTTGAATTGAAGTGGACTCCATGAAAATTCGAGATTCTTCCATGGTACCTTAAATAACAACCTAAAGAAGTCGACAATCAATGGCCTTAATATCAATGGCAAATGGGTCACGTCTCCAAATTAATCGTATTAAAAATGAAATCTTTAGCTTCTTTCAAGCTAAATTCCGTGAATCGGCAGCCATTCGTTCCTCCTTTCGAAACGAGAATTTTGAAAAAACTGTCGGAAGATCTAAAATATGTTGTTAGTCAACGAAGCACAAACGTCTGCATGGTTTAAGCTTAAAAGCTCCTTTATATATATATATATATATATGGATTATCTGGATCATTAAGACATTTTACCTTTTTAATCCTAGATCTAATTGATATACATCTTAATCACATATCTAACAATTTCTCCTAGGATTCAAGATTATGTTTTGATTGCTATAACATAAAACTTGTTTTTCAAAATGTTTCCATATGACATTGATCGGACGATTTATGTGACAATCAGATCGACTAAGCAGTTGATGAACCTTGAGATCAAGAGAAGAAGGTAGCTCGAGCACCGAAGCTTTTGTTTGAGGGGTCGTTTTGGATTCCCACATAGACTAGACACAGATCTTCAAATATCTAAATGTGTAGGAGTCCTCTCTCTCTCTCTCTCTCTCTCTCTCTCTCTCTCTCTCTCTCCCACCCCCCCTCTAGGGCTCTCTTAAATAGAGATTTAAAGGTCTTTCATATATCCATAGATGGTATCAGAGTCCAGGTCAAACTCACTCTCTTTCAGCTTTCTTCTTGGGGGCACTATTTAGTCTCCATTTGAAGGGGCATTGTTGGAATCCCACATTAGCAAGAGTCCAGGTCAAACTCACTCTCTTTCAGCTTTCTTCTTGGGGGCACTATTTAGTCTCCATTTGAAGGGGCATTGTTGGAATCCCACATTAGCAAGACACTGACCGTCAAATGTGTATATATGCATAAACTTCCCATCTCTCTATAATGTTTTCTAGATAAAGATTCCAAAAGGCTTTAAACATTTCGTATATATCATAATATCATGCCTTTTTTTAGAAATCTGTTCCATAAAGAAATAACTTGTGAAGTTGTCCAACTTCATCATAATATTTACTCGTTAAGTTATCCAAGTTAATGCATTTGTATAGGATTGAAGAGGTGGAATAACATTTGGAAGAAATTGAAATTGCCATGGGACTAAGCACGCCGCTAACTATTGATACCGATGACACTTAGTCACAATATGACGATGATGAGGAACTCGACATTGATGACCAAGAGGCTATTAAAAGAATTCAAGAGACCGGAAGTCTTCGAATCAATCCGACATAAGATACCGATGATGAATAAGTGTATTTTCAAATAATTGAATATTTGAATGTAATTTTAATTATAATAAAACGTATTTTTAAAGTGTATTTGAGTGACCTAATTACAAATTTTATAATGTATTCAAAAAATCTGTCATTAAAAAAATTAAAATTTTTTTTTGCATAGGGAACGGTTACCCATAACCGGTTATGGATCAAGTTAAACGAGCTCGAGTTTGATGACCGAATACCGGTTATGAGCATCACTGTTCCGGTCCAGGATCGGATTTGAACATCACTAACTATGATATACAATGGAACATGGGCCAAATAATACCCAAATTGGTGAATCACAATGGGGTTTTTTTTAGAAATCATAAAGCCCATTTGAAAGCCCAAGCCCAATTCTATCAAATAAACCAAACCGACTATGAAGTACTTTAATTTGTGTAGTTTTATGTTCATTTTAATGTATTTTCAAGTTATGCATTTGGTGTTAAGATTTGTACTCTAAGAAAAGGTAAATGGTCCCAAACCCTAAAAATGGTCCAATATTCTTTTATAAATTAATTTCAAAGAAAATAAAAAAGGTGACATATAACGTATGTCGTTTTAAGATCTAACCATCTTCAACCACGTATTGTCTTCTAATTCTCTTGTCGTTGGCAGATTTAAAGATTAAATGGATCGTTTATCAACACAAATGGGTAATAGCTAAATGAGTAAGAGATTCAGTTTAAATAAACACTAAGGGGTTGTTTGTTTACCTCTTAATAGTTTTATTAAGAGGCAATCTCTGAATCGTTAAAAGGTGAATCTTGTTTAGCAAAAAAAAAAAAGTCCGCCTCTTAATGGTTCTAAAACCCTTTGAATGATTTTGTATCTTGAGCCTCCCTTAACCATTAAGAGCCCTAATTTCATTGTAAACAATCACCAAACAATTATATTTCATTTTACACTATATCATGAGAGCATCTTAATCATTCTGACCACTTAATAATTCTGGACAAAACCATTCAGCAACTGCCAAATAGCCTCTAACTAAAAATGGCTGTTTACAAACTTTTTTTTAGAATACATGCTTATCGATAAGATAACTTTATAATCTTGTGTTGATTGGGAAGGGGTATAATAATGTTGGCGCAGGTAGGTGTTCAGTCAACACTATCATTCATATTAGTGTTTAAGTAAACTAGTTGATGCTGACGGAGTCGGTCATGCTGATAAAAAATAACACTTGTCGATACAGTAGGTATACAAACCCTAGATGAAAAAGATAATATATATATATATATATATAATAGCGACAAATCATAACAATATTGCTTTCCTTCACTTATAAGTATCGAGAAAATCCCCACTAATACCTATTTGGTGGAACGTCTAAAAAGTCGTTGGTCCATGACCCTAAAATTAGTTCCGGCTCTATGATGGCTAATTTGTCTTTAATTCAGTTCACGTTCATCCTTTGCCTTTTGCATAATATCAATCACAACTGGTATAAAATGTGTGGTTTGAATAGGTTTGAACAATTTCATTTAGAACTGGATTTTTATTTCTAATCAGATTTAATTAATTGTCACATTTTGTTCATTAAGAAGAATTCAAAACCCCATATAGTCTTAATGCACACGTTCATCACACACACAACATTAAATTTGGCCTTCCCATTGAACTTCTCGAATATCATGAAGCTTAGTGTGAAAAAAACCCGTCATCGTCAATCACATTCATAAATGAAAATCCCGAAAGCAATAATAATGATATAAGATATGATATTATTATCGTTCTTTTTGTCATAAATTTACCAACCGAATCCTCCTCGACACTTTCTGCCGTCACATATGCAATAATTTGAGTGTTTTGTTAGCAATGATTCAAATTAACAACCCCACTTAACAAATGGAAGCTATAATCAATAATCACTTGATGATTTAAAGTTGAAAAGAAAGCATTAAAAAGCATAAGTGAAATGATAGTATATGCATTTTGCACATAAAATGTGGATATAAACCAACAATCAAACTTAAATAACGTTTGAATCAACTAAAATTTGATTAAGACATGGCTAAGCACTTGTTAGTAAGGTTTATAGTTAAAACGAAAAGACAGTTAATTTGTAAAAGATGACAAGTTTCAAGATCATATATGATTATACGATGTCCGCACATATAATCATATATGATTAAACATATGTTACGTTGACTGATACGTAGCTGGAGATATTTGATCTTGTTCACGAAGTCGCCCGTGTCCTTTTTGGACATGTTTAGTTATATATGATTAAGTTTTTTTTGTCGTGTGTAATCGTATATGATCTTGAAACTTTTTGTCTTATCATAAATTAATCAACTTCTTGTCTCATCCTCCCTTTACATATATATAAGGGGACGGGGTTCAAGAGAAAACCACAAAAAAAGAAAAACTAGGGAATATCCTAATAATCGTTTATCTGTACGTAATGCTCATGTCGTACAAGTAATCAAAGATTTTCTTAGGTTCTATGTATGTGTGCATGCTATGCACTGTGCATAATGAAAAAATTACTTACAAAAAATGGTATGTATGTGTGCATACTAATGAATGGTTCCTAGGGTGTACGTTCTTCAAATTCTTTTTATCTTTCTTTGATTTTTCTTGAACCTGTCCCAATATTATATATATATATATATATATATACACACACATGCTTAATAATAGAAGTTCAAATTTTGTATGGCTCATAAGGGTTTGTTTAACATGATTTTTTCCATCTAATTATAGTTTAATATATTGATTAACATATATATTTTTTACAATGTATTTGTTTCATATGTTTTCGGTTCACAATGTGATACTTTTTTATGTATCTTTTGTTTCACAAACACGACAAAAATATTCACATTGTGAACCGAATACATGTAAAACAAAAACATTATAAAACAAATATATGTTAGTCGACATTTTAAATGATAGTCGAAGATGAAAAAAGAACCATATGAAATAGCATATGTTCCACTAGTTCTCAAATTTATCACAATTCATGGGTTTCTAAAAGAATGTCTATATATATATATATATATATATAGAGAGAGAGAGAGAGAGAGAGTTGGGTACACATGAGACTAGCCTATTTTCGTGAGACCGTGACACAACAAAATAACACGGAAACTTCACAATAATTCATTGTAAATGTATGAAAAACAACAACGAACATTTACAACGAAAACACTGTGAATGTTTACCTTCACAAATCTTCACAGTGTTGTTATTGTAAAGGTTCGGTGT